GTGTCAGCAGCATAAACTTGAAGTGGGCTGCCAGAAAGTCTGATTTGCCTATTTCCAAATACTACAGTTATTGCATATGGTAGGACTACTGCATGATGTGAAACACTCTATCAGCTGTGATAATGAGTTGTGTATTATCACTAGAATTTTGTTCCCAATACACTACATCACCAGGTCACAAATTATCAAAGTTATAGACATGATTGTAATCATAGTTGGTGATGAGAGTTGAACTTTTGTACACTCCTCATCAACACTGTGTCACCTCACTGATGAAAGTAGGTACATCTCTGGCTGCTGATATAGATATATTAGTTACATGTTGATTGTTCTCAGTATATCAAGAAAGTCTATACATGACTCAGGCTGTCAATATTTAGGAGATCTTACATGAAGAAAATGTAGCAAAAAATAATGAAATCTTTCAGCTTTCTCGCAACAAACATAACTCTTTCTTGGACTTCAATTGTACTTTTCACAGGTCTTGCTTGAAACACGTGTTAAAGGTGAGCTATAATCATATAGTAGTATTTGATCAGTGTTTACGAAGATATCTATGTGTAGTACCCAGCAAGTCCTCTATAAGTGAGTTATTTGGCTCCATGATTCTTTTTTTCCAAGTGACAATTTCTTGACTTATCTTTGGTCTAAAGCTATATTATCATTATTGGACAGTGTGTGAATAGCATCTCACATCTGAGTACTATGTGTAGTACCCAGCAGGTCCTCTATAAGTGAGTTATTTGGCTCCATGATTAATTTTTTTCCAAGTGACAATTTCTTGACTTATCTTTGGTTTAAAGCTATATTATCATTATTGGACAGTGTGAATAGTATCTCACATCTGAGTACTATGTATAGTACCCAGCAAGTCCTCTATAAGTGAGTTATTTGGCTCCATGATTCATTTTTTCCAAATGACAATTTCTTGACTTATCTTTGGTCTAAAGCTATATTATCAGTATTGGACAGTGTGTGAATAGCATCTCGCATCTGAGTACCATGAATGCTGTGCTGAACACAGAGGTGATGACAGAATTAGTTTTTGTCCAGTCTTCTGAATGGTAATGTTAAGGGGCCAATGACCAGCTTGTCTCACACTGTTTGCTGCAAGACAATGTATGTATTAAGAGGGGACTCCCAGTGATCCCATATGCTGTCTGTCATATAGGAAGTGTAACAATTATGAACCTTTGCTGCTTTTTAATACCTCACAAGTGAATATACAAAATCAGTTGCCTGACAATAGTAACGGCTTTTTCCAGACAGTCAGGAAACTATTAATACTGAATCCTTCTGTTCTCGTCTTTGTCTTGTATAGACCTGCTTCAATAGCCAATTGCACTCAATAATAAATACTGAAGCCAGACAATAACAGGTAAATATCCCAGCATACTATTTATTGTATGAATAACGATTTTATTTGCTTGTTTTTCCTTTGTATTTTATTCTCTGTATAAAATCTCTGGAAACTTACATTATTGTTGATACCTGATACTTAACACTAATAACAGTGAATACCACAACAGTTAGTAATTTAATAGTTTCTGTATTCAGTTACATCAATTTTAAGTTACCATTCATTTTATATTTTTATTTAAAATTATGCAAAATTTCCCACAGTAACTTAACATAATGTAACATCATAAATGCCTAGTGTACTATTCAGACACATCTTAAGCATTCCTATAATGTTCTATGTTCAATGTTTACTGCTTTTGGATTTTGTCAGTAAATTTTTTCAATATAAATACAAACACTTTATCATTTGAAATATCAAAGTAAATAGAAAACAAAAGTGAATAAAACATAAAGAAACTGAACATGTATGTCAGTTAATGTTTAGTAGGTTTCATAGGTCATACCTATTCAAAATGATCTACTGTACAAGATTTTTTGCTTCCACAGAAATCACTGAAAACTTCCTTCTTTGAAATGTTTGGGTCTTTGGTTGAACTATGTCTTTTCTCCAAAATCACTGGGATGTACATTGTTTCATTTTATAATTATATGTCTTTTTCTACATTAGCACATGTAATATATCCTGATAAAGCGAAACTAATCCCTTTGTAAAAACATTACTGACTCTAACTCTGTTAATAACTGATTATTAAATATACCAATCTCATCGAAGGTTAAAGATCACTTACCTTCCATTAATGCAGAGAAGGGTAAAGCGTATTTTCCCAATTTGTAATTCTTCCCACTGCTACTTTCATCCTTCACGATGAAGACAATTATTGCTAGGTCTGGTACAGCAATATGAAGAGTAAATGTTTCATTCCACCATGGATTGAACCCTAAAAAAATCCAGTAAATATAAACCCCTAATATTAAAACAACAAAGCTATTTCTTTGTACATGTAGCTATTTTTTAAATATATGTGCACGAGTCACATGTTCCATAAATGGTTTTAAAAATAGTTCTGCTTGCAAACAAGCTGAAAATGCATTCAGTTATATGGTGAACTAACTAGCTCTGAATACTACAAATTATGCCAAATCTTAATAATGAAACATAAATATTAAATTACTTATCACGACATAAGAAATAGATATTGAAAAGTGATAAAAAAGGCAAAAACTGCAAAGTTATTGAAAAAATTCAATTGATGAAACTAAAGAGGAAGCTTGAATGAATGATTAGAGAGAAAGCAGTTAATCGACAGCACCCACTACCATAGCTTGAACTGAATGATTAGAGGGAAAGGGGTGCTGTTGATTAACTGACTACCATAGCTTGAACTGAATGATTAGAGAGAAAGCAGTTAATAAACAGCACCCACTATCATAGCTTGAACTGAATGATTAGAGGGACAACAGTTAATAAACAGCACCCACTACCATAGCTTGAACTGAATGATTAGAGGGACAACAGTTAATCAATAGCACCCACTACCATAGCTTGAACTGAACGATTAGAGAGAAAGCAGTTAATAAACAGTACCCACTACCATATAAGCTAAATCATGGGCACTAAAAAAAGCAACCATTATTCTTGACAAACGATGTCTTGACTTTCAGCTTGTCAACTGGGTGCCCATAGACCTTGATGATAACATAAGGGTCAACAACTTCCCCTTCAGTGGCCTGGCCAGGTTTAGGAATGTGCTGTCCACTGATTATCTATGAAAGATTCAAATAACCTTCATTCAAACTACTTTGAATTTTCAACACTTTAAACCTAAATAACAACAACGCCATCAGTACTTGCGTAACAGTCATCATCAGATACAACAACAAATCCTCCTCAAAATCAACATGTTTCTTGTCTCTATCTCTATTCCTCAGTACTGCTATTAGACACTTATGTGTAACAGATGCAAAATGCAAAGATATAAGTTTCTATGATTGTTTACAGTTGCACCAGTTTTTAGTAACATTAACTAACAAAACACAGAAATCTGGCCGAGATGTAAAATTACACGGAAAGAATTCTGAACATTTTAAAATGGAATTCATTAACTGAACTATTTTGTAGCACTTAGAGTACATCTATTACTACAAGTCCGTGATTAATGATTACTGATCTACATACAAAGATATAAAAATTAATCTCAGATCACTAATGAAACAATAAGGCAAACAAAGTGAAAAGAGGAACACAGATGCAATTCGTACGAAGAAGTAATATTATGAAATATTAATCAAAGTGGACTTTCATAACATTGCAAGTAATTGAAAAAGTATATTCTCACTGCTCACAGTCACAGTAAAATAACTGAAGCCTGTTCATTGTATATTTACTGAACGTTGCGAGTTTTAACGAATATAAGCACATCATATATCATCAATCACAAAATCCATTAATAGATTGTTTTCATACAAAACAAATGATTTGGGGGTATTAAACCACAGTATACACACTTCAGACTCACAAATGTACATATAGTTTTAATAAATATTTAAACTCGGCAAAACTGCTGAATAAGTTACATTCTAAAATATTTCATCTGAGTTAATTGAAAATGGTTGAAATTACTCATCTGTGAGCAGCTGAAATATTGTATTTAATATCTCTGTGTTATAAAGGTGTAACAGTTATTTCTTGTATAATTATTCATCATCTTTTTTAATGTATCAATGATACAATGTAAAGGTGATGAATAATTATACAAGAAATAACTGTTCATTGTATCATTGATACATTAAATAAAGATGATGAATAATTATACAAGCAATAACTGTTCATCTTTGTATCACTGATACATTAAATAAAGGTGATGAATAATTATACAAGATATAACTGTTGATTGTATCATTGATACATTAAATAAAGATGATGAATAATTATACAAGAAATAACTGTTCATTGTATCACTGATACATTAAATAAAGATGATGAATAATTATACAAGAAATAACTGTTCAATGAGTGTAAAATGATTTCTATAGACTGTTATTATTTATTAAAAAGTGAAGCAAATACAAAGTCATCTCTATCTTTTGAAGTATCTTTACAGAAAGTACTTTATACATTCTAAAGAGGAACAAAATCTATAATTTGATTTTACCTTCAATGTTACCTTTTTCATGTATTTTCTGTTGGGAGGTTCATTGGGATCAAAACTCTTATCTGGATAAAGAAAAAAATTAGAATAATAGATTCAAAGTATTTACGTGACTGAAATCTCATGAATGTTTCTCTTTTGTAGCTATCTCCAATTCATAAAGCCTAATCCCATTTACGTTACAATACTCAGTTTATATGCATGACATACATTTAGATTATATAGTAAATGCTCTTCCTGTATAATAGCCACTTAGAGCAAATGTACAAGTATTGCCATTTGTATTGATGAAACGTACAAAACACAAACACACAAAAAATATATAGGTTGTCCATTTACATACCACTCCTAAGAAATTCTGGTTTAAGTATGTATCCACATTTTCCATTGGATGTAAACTTTGCTTCATTCAGAAAGAAAGCCTTATCATATGTCTGGTAGTTTAGAGCCACTAGTGAGAAAAATTGAAGAACCAAGTGTTTACACCAAGATGCAAAAAAAAATAAGTTTTAGAGCTGTGAGCTAATACATAATGACTGAATAAAAAAAGCAGTTCGTATAGTTTGGTTATAAATTATGATATAAATGACTACACTTAAATTCAACTTTCAACATGGTACCAATGTATTACAGATTCAATGCAGGATAATTTTATCAGATGGTAAAAATGATCAGAGAATAGTTACTTCAAGTACTTTCCAGCCATCAGAGGTTAGGTACATTTATGATAAAAATATTTTGCAGCCTTTTTGTTTTAACAACAACGTTTCAAATAATAATAATAATAAAGAAAAAAGATTATTGGAAATACATAATACTAAAAAATAATATTACAATGTGAATAAAATTACATAAGGATCCCCCCAAAAAACATTAATTTATTGTCTAGGAAATTGATATGCTATTAAAACTTTCAGAAAAGTTTATCTTTATGAACAAATGGCTTATTTAATAACTGAAAGTAAAAAATAAACAAATTTTAAGAGTCTAGGTCACTATACTATTTGAAAAGAAACAACTGCAGTAAATGACAAGACTAAGAACAAGTTTTTGTATATTCTTTCAAGAAGGAAGTTAATTTCTGACACGACAGTACTCTTCCAAAATGATAAAATTTGAAGATACAGGATATAAGATGTTTAACTACCTGATATAACAGAAGTGGGCTGGAATCTCTTTTCTGCTATACCATGCTTAATCAAACTAAATGATGTGTTTTAAAGCTTCTACATGTACTTCAAGAACTTACTCTTGTTTTAATCTGTACGGGTAGTGACTCACAGTGATAAAACAATCACAGCATCGGTAGCATATCTTATCATTTTGATGTTCATTTTCAGTTGATCGAAAGCACGGTAAAGTATCTTTTAGTTGCTATGTGTCTGTCATTTTTAGAGAATTTTCAGCTTAGCCCTTTCATTCCAGGCAAGTTAAACAGCATGTCATGATCTTTTAGAGCTATTTTCAAAATTTCATTAAATAACTTTACTATTATTTATGTCAATGGAATTGCCATCAAAATGCAGTATATAATTCAAATTTTAATATTATATATGTTTAAATTTCTAAATTTAAAAGGAAATATCAAGAAGAAAATGCTAAATATCAATTTTTGTTTGTTACATAGCACCTTCATATTGTCTTATTGCTCAGTTTATATTATTTTATGCCTACCATACAACATGCACAGTGGTTAACGAATTAGAAAGTCAAAGTTGAGATAGAGATAAGCTAGAATATAAAATGAGAACCTCTAACTTCCCGGATTTGCTGATATTTCAATATATTTAGCCAATCTAGTTAACTGGCTTCTCCCACTACTCCATTTTTAGAAATCTCTTGTCTAGTCCCACCTACTTCTTTTGACTAAGTTTTGACTACCAAGAGAAAGAGCAGATTCCTGTATACGTAAATCTGACAGTCGTTTGTAAATAGCATGAAGAAGATAGTCATAATTTTGACAAAATTGTTGAAGTGTGATGATTAAGTTGTTGCTCTGAACAAATAATGATGATTTTTTAAAGTCATATATATATATATATATATATATATAGCTTGTTTAGAAACCTAGATAAATTACAGGGCTTTTGTTTGCACTAACATAGTAAGTTGATAATTATTTTGTTTTCTAAAACGTACAATTGAAGTTCACAAAAAGTTAACATTTTTCCTAAATTGAAAATGTATTTCCAATAATACTAACCTCCTCTCACATTTGTAGCTAATATTCAACTGCCAAGACTCAGCATTAGTCTGATTTTTTCTTGCTTGCTCCAGTCTTTTATTCCCCACTCAACTGCCCTTGGCAATATTTGTCTTGTGACACTCTCCACCTACATCAGTGCACTCTCTATCCTGGTACTGTATATAAACACCTCATTCAGATAAGGTTATCACTTTTTCGAGACTGAACCAATCCCAGTCTCTAATACTGACTCGAGAGTGTGAGAGGTAAGTATTATTGGAAATACATTTTCAATTAAGGAAAATGTTAACTTCCAAAATATACTTACCTCTCCTGACACTTACAGCTAGAATCCCACAACGATAAGGTGGAGGGGCCAGTGAGGGCATTATCCATACAGAAAGTGTCTGCATAAATCATGGGTGTGCCAATAGAAGACTGGCACCCTAATGGGAGAACTGCACTACATCCAGAACACACATGCTCTTCACCCAGAAATTGATTCCTGTATTGTGGGTGGAATTTTATGAGTTACCATCACTGTAGGCCATGTCCTAATCAGATAGCCGAGGTTCCACTACTTAGAGTTGGAATTATGGGGTCATGGTCCCTATATCCCACTTTGGTGGCAAGAGCAATTGGACCACAAATGTTATATATACATACTTATGAGTGTAACCCAACTTGTAGATATAAAGTGATGCATTCTGAGCCACAGGAATCACAACGAGAAAGTATGCAACACTGAAGAAGTCCAAAAGGCAACACTCCAGGCTCAGAATGGCAGGATCATGTATGCATTATTCAACCAAAGGAAACAAAATTCATCCAGTCTGGAATTATGAACACTTATCTTCATTCACCGATGGAAATTTTTCCCCCAGAAATGTGGGGAAAACGTGGAACAAGTGTCTTGAACCAAGGACCCAGGATGGGACCACTCTGTATTTGGAATTATGAGAAAACAATGGACTCTCTTCCATAAACAATGTAATGAACCAACACTGAGCAAAAAGAAGGGCCATGCACACCCCAACTAGATAGCCGAGCATCAAATCTGAACCAGTACTATAAGTACACTCTCGTATAAGCTGGTGCCAATCCTACCAACATCTGGGAAAAAACATCCTGGGACCCAGGTAAGAGGGCCCCAACTTTGCCCTCTTCTTTAAGAGTGGAGGAATTCACTCAAATACTCTGGAGAAAAAAACTCTGTCCACCACCCCAGTGACTGGAAACCAGGTGTGGTAAAAACTCACTAATTCTACTAGTAGAATCTAGGTAATGCACATTAGGGAGCTCTAAGGAACAGTTCTATGGAAACAGTACAATAGGTGAACCAAGTTCCCTAAATTTTTAAAAACAAACCAACCCCGATTTATTCAATCCAATGATCAGCAGGGATGGGCAGAATCCCTTTATCCCTTACTCGTGATAGTTCATGAGTGGCGGTCCAGCATAGTACAGTAATACCACCTGGTCAACTTCTAGGTGGTCTTATAGAACACTCATATCTACAGAGCCCGTTGCAACCTGTATAAGTTATATTGAATTAGTGGTTACTAGTGTGGAATTGGTTTGATGAGAGCACACCTGCCTGGGCAACATTTGGTACAGAGTGGGATCCTGTGAAAACCATGAAAGGTAGGAATGAAAATACTCACCCCTCTATATAATCTAGCAGAAATGGTTAAGATAGCTACATGAGGTAGGCAAAAACCCTCAGATGAAGAGACTGCCAGATCATGTAACTAATGAGAGATAAAGGTATTGGGGGAGGTCCACATACCAGTTTGCACAATGACCTCCAGCAGGCAATTCAACTGGGCTGCTATGGTTATACTATTTATTTTACAAATAAAAGTAAAGTAACATCACATTATAATGAATGGATTTCTTGGAATATGATTGGTTATCAAAATCACAATATGTCAAAATTAAACGTAATATAACATTGAAATTGAGCAATTATAATTTTACTAACAATTGTAATGTACACATTCAAAAATGAAAAGTTTTAGAAACTTTTAATACATGTAATTTTCAAATGTTTAACTTTTACCCCTCCTTAATCTATGCCATCCATACTATTTTATTTAAATTGTTTTTGAATGACTGATATTAGCCGACCCTAAATTTACTTTCTTTTTGAAAAGTTTTTTCTTTACTTGCTTGCCTGTTGTTTTAAAGCCATGTTTCAATAGTTGTAGGAAGGTTGTATTTATAACCAAGTTCTAAATACAATGAGGTTCTAACTGTAATATTTATTCTTTATCTATTATTGGCTGGTAATTCCGGTTTCATCTTGTACTTAAGCTTTTAAAAGGTACACCAAATTTCTGTAAGAAAACCAACTTCAAGGGATGGGTAATGACGACATCATTTATACTAGAAATGTGATTTTTTTTCTAATTACTACTAATTATTACTTATAAAAGCAAATATTCCATTTGAAACTATATCACCTCAGTGAAATTGGTTGATGTCATTGTTTTGGTTTTTGAGTTATAATGCAATAATAAAAGCAGCAGAACTTGTGACTCAGTCATTACATAGATATTTTATAAAAGGAAACACTGTATAGTATTGTAAACATTCCGATTACCTATTGAGGAGATACTTAAAATACCATTTCGATGAATAATCTGAGCCATCCCTGAATAGACAGTGCTTGATAATGATATTTACTTATGTCACAAGATATAGAAGTAAACAAGTCTCTTTCAACAATGTAATTAGTTATCAATGTATGTGATTTTTCTCTTACAAAACAGAAGTAGATGTAAAATTATGAACAACTGAGCATAATACTTTGCATACATAATCAAAGCCAAATATTTAGACTATATTTGATGACATATTAAACATTCCCATTATATTAAAGAACAGAACAACTGTTTTAAAAAGTACTCACCAAGTTGACATCCAACATTCCAAAACTGTACCGGATCAAAGTTACTAGAATCTGTACGAAGACTCTTTGGGTAAATTCTCGACAAATGCTTTTTATTATGATTGACAAAACTGCTTGCTTGCGTCTCAATCAAAGATGCTGCCTTTGTTTCTCGGAATGAAGACATTTCATAAAATTTCCCTGTAAACATAACCGAATCACTGCTCAAACATTTCAAGTATTGCTGTAAAATAATAGTGCTACAATAAAAAAACACATAACTTAGAACTGGGCAATTAGAAGTATTTACTAATTGATTAATTTAGAGGACCATTAATCAACGATGTTCCATTAGTACAGTACTCCAGCCACCATGATACGCATTTTCTCCATTATCAAAACATAAAAAAAGAAGGTTGATGCACCAGCTTAGAAACTCTGAGAACAACTGCATTATTCTAACGTGATATTAATCTTTCTAATTTCAATTACTTTTAATTAATATTCTAATTACAATCACTTAATATGCCTATTTTATGATAGAAAGGAAAAAAAAACTTTTGGTTTTTTGTATGATAATTTGTACATTTCTTACTGGGTGAATTGCCAATGTCAATTAGCAATGTTTACATGGTCACAACTTTATTAGTTTTTAAAATATGCAGTAATCCCTCATTAATGGATCTTGTGTAAATCAAATAAATTGATAATTAAATAATGAAAACGTGTTTTCTTATCATTCCATATCTCACTAAACTTAAATCAGCTGATATGGTTCACCGAACTTAATAAACAACATCCCATATTTAACACCATTGCAACTCAAAAAATCCACAGTGTATCTATACAAGACGCTGTAATTTCAAACAAATAACTAAACATCGGAAGCTACATATCTTAACTGAACAAAAAAGCTCCACCCTAAACCAAAATTTCACCTTGAAACTTGAATCCAAGCTCTGAAAATGGACCATTCCACAAATTTAAAATAACTAGTAAATAAATAAGAATAAATATCTGAACTAGACTCTAGTCAATACCTAATAAAGTAATCCTCTCTGAATACAAATACTACATAAAATGTAATATGTTGTATTAAAACAATTTCAAGTTGACTAAAAATTCTTTAATTTCCATGTTTCATTTATTTAGTTGCTTTTGTCACAACTTTGATCTATATCAACATCCGTGTTGTGTTTCTATGTCAACACTTTCAACCTTCTTCTTCTTCATGGCGACTTCCTATTCTCAGCTTGAGACATTTGCTTTGAGTCATTTTATTAGCCATGATTACTGCACAGATTAATCAAGTCTGTCCCTCAACAAACTGCATGTTAATAATCTTCACACCCCGCTAGTAAATCCTAATCAAGTTACTTAACATCTACTCAAAATCTACTACATTCACAGAATAATAAACCTTAATTACATGAGCAAAGTGAAGACAAGCAACAGTTTCTGACTGCCCCTGGTTACCTTTCATGACCTAAAAGTTTTTAAACCAAAATACCTATGTATATGTACCACGGAGTTTGATTTGAACATCCCGGGGACCAAGATACATATACTAAGTTGTGACCTTTTTGTTCCATACTGTATACACTGTATTCATGCATCTCTGTAAATTACAATATTGATATGAAAAAAAGTCCTTTAAAAGAGGTCATTACTCTATCTTCTGCCCCAAAATCATGGTCGTATGTCGCATCTGTTAGGAAGTCCTTTGTGGGAGGTCAGATTAATGTAAAATTATTCTGTGCACAGAAAAAAAGTTGTATTTAAAAGGAAATCGTTATTGGGAAGGGTCGTATCCACCAGGGACTACTGTAATACAGTCTCTCTACAATGTTGGTTGAATTGACTGACCTTGTAACTATTTTGTGCACATGCATTTTAACATTTACAAAATGTTTTTATTACTTGTTTCGTGATGTTTTTCCCCTGAGTGAAAGTTAGTGTATTCTGTGGATGTGTGTAATAACATTTAATATTATGTGTACTGATTTTTTTACTCCTTCACTTCATACATAATACAGGGGTTGGCTTCCTAATAATACCAATTGTAGAGTGTACAATGTATTTAAAGTATTCAACATGTTACAGTCACCTATTGTTCACTTATTATTGGTTGGTAATTCCTGTCTCACTCTGTCTTTAAACTTTTCAAAGGAACACCAGATTTCTGTACAAAATAGCTAACTTCAAGGGGTAATGATAAAATAATTTACACTAGAAATGCAATTTGTTACTTTTAATTTTAATTACTACTAGTGGTTATGACTAAGCAATGACATCATGCACTACCCAGAAACATAAGAGTGGATTTAGGTTTAAATTTAAACAAGTGATAAAGTAGTTGTAGTGTTATCTTGACTGACACAAGAAGAAAGATGAACAATTTGATGGATTGGTATCTTAGCGATGGTTTCTTGCCTTGTTGGGAAGAGTAACAAATGAAAGTATGTGGCAATCATCTTTAAATAATTTTTATTTAATTCAATAATGCATTAAAGAACATAGAATAATATCATGCAAAAAGCAGACAATGTCCCATAACTATCACAGTTTTTCTGGCTTTCTAACTATGCGACAAGAGCTGTAAGAAAATCATCCACGCTTATCAATATCTTTTCTATGGGAATGAAGCTTATACCAAATGAGAAATTGACAATTCTCTGTTCAGAACACAATGTAATATAATACGTCATTTGATAGATCAAAACCTTGGCTTTCTATTTGTTATAAATAACATAATATTAAACATAAGAGAGAAGTATTAACAAATCCTGAAAAAGAAGATGTGACAGATGGTTGTGGCAGGAGGGGTCTGATTTTCTATTTGGTGGTTCTGTAACTAAATAAGATTGAAGGCTATAAAAATATGCTTTGTTTGAGCAATGACCATTTGATAGTGAATAATTTATGCTAAATTTTGTACTTATTGGAGGGGTTGTGAATAAATTACAGAAGAGAGGAAGCCTAGAGAAAAAAGTCACATTTCTCACACTAGGGGAAATTGAGGATTTTTTTTTTAATATCGCTTAATAAAACCAAGAACTTAAAACTTGTATACTATTAAAATATGGATTATTAGTTATGACTTTAAGCTATACTAATTGGTACACCATGAACAGCAAGCAATTTAATTAAATTTTTATGTAAGTCACTAAAAACTTCATGACATGCTCATTAAAGAATGCCCATGTAGAAAGGGATAAATCAAATGTCATTTCAAAAGGTAAAATTCCTCCCATGCCAGAGGGCACACAAGCTGAACTAAAGCTTAATTGGCACAATCAGATGGAATTATGACATATCATATCTCCTATACAAGATGCCAGCCTATCACAGATTATACTCCAGCTAACAACTGGTACCCTACATACAGTTGAGGTAAAGTGTCTTGCACCAGCCTCAAACTTGCACCCACTCAACTACAAGTCCAAAGCACAAGGTCACTGAGCCATGTTGCCCCCAAATAAAATTATGTAGAAACACACTATAACAACATCATTGATAAAGCAATGAGTAATAACAGCCCACAATTCTACACTGAAGAAATTGGAAGAAAACTGGAAACCAGATTCATTGAACATAATAAAAACAACCCTCCCATGTTTACTACCATTGTGACTCAAAAAAAAACATAATATATCTATTAAAACCATTGTTATTTTAAACAAAGAACTGAGTATAAACAAATGTAAAACTGCAGAAGCCATCCTAAGTGGACAACACGGTTCCACTCTAAACTAGTACCCTGAGATACCACAATACCTTTAGCAATCTTTGTTTGGAAGTCATTTTCTGACTTCGTTTCATTCTATATAAATATTCCTGCGTCTAGGTAAACGAATTCTACCTGATGATGATAAAACATTGTTGAAATGTTGTACATTTGTTAGTATGTTAAACTTGTAATAAAGTGTATTAGTTACCCATTCAAGCCATCTTCAAACTTTATAAAAATTCAGATATAGTCAATGTAGAGATATTTCTTATTGTGAGCAAATATCACCATTTATGGTCCTGTTAGTGACTGGAAAAAGTCAAAGTGTAAAAAGTTACCTTGACAACACTTAATTGATGTTCGTATGTTATATTAGTTTAGAAATAATCATTTATTAGATGACGTTGTAACCAGAATACTTTAGATTACAGCTGTGAAAAGCTTTCACTGCAAATTATAATCAAATAAGAAAAGCACTGGCATCTGATACTATAATAATTTATCACTTTCTGAATCTGAATAAACATGGGGGGGTCTGGACCTGTTCCATAGATTTGTACTTATTCAACTTTACAGAATACAGTTATGCAATTATAAGTATGGCATGATGTAGAAAAACAGTTAACCTTTTATTCTATTTAATATTGATGTACCCCAAAGGTTGGCGGTGGGTGCTGCCAGATGGTTGCCTTCTTTCTAGTTAGCAGTTCAAAATTAGTAACAGTGGCAAATACTCTTAGAAGCTCTGCCATAACAAAGAAACAAATATAATGCCCTTGTTAAGAGGGCAAGCAAGTTTATTGGCAAAGGGAATTGATCCCCCCAAATCATCTGGACATCATGCTGGCTCAAAGTTGAATTTCCATTAGCTGGTTATTATCAGACACTTGATTTGATAATAATTTTGATTAATCAATTGTTGGAATAACTGAAAGCAGCAGTAACTGGAAACACGAATTTAAATTAGTTGATTATTTTTTATGACATTAATCGATTTTATTGTAATTTCAATTAGTCTGTTATTTTACATAACACTGTCAATATAATTGCCCAGTTCTACAGTAGTGACTGAAGTATCAATAAACACAATAAGCTGATACATTATTAAACACGATTAAAAATAAAAGTGACATGTATTCTTTTATTTCATTGTGGAGCAAAAACTTTTACAAATTAATTACACGATAAGGTTATTAAAAAAAACATCCCTGTGAAATGACCAATGACTAAATACAAAAAAACTTTAAAAAATCCACACATATGGAGATGAAATGAAGAACAAACAGAACAAGAGATGTGTACTTCAAGTTAAAGAATTGAAATCAATTTATGTTCATCATATACGATAAATTAAAGCATGTGCAAAATATTATAATCCACAAACCAAAAGTCCACTATATCATTCAAGTACTTCCTTTTTATAGAAATCCTTGAAATATCCTCCACATTTAAAAAACAAAGTACACATGTAAACAAAATCAAAACACACAGAAATGTATCTATAACAGTTCAAGAAAACAATAACCATCCTTATAATTATTATGCTTTCTGAGATTTTACTCAGGCAGTCTTATCTACCCAAACGTCAAGGATCAACGAGTAAACCAGATTAAGCCATACACAAACAGAAGTAATTCATAACAGTATATACCTTAATACACCTTATCTTAATAGACCTTGCTTTAATATATCTTCATAAACCTTAATATATCTTAATAACTTGTTCAATTCACTTAAATAATGAACAAACATATCTGAAACATTGTATTAATGAAAGTTTGTTTTTAATATTTAATGATAGACCACAAAAGTATAATAAATATGATATAAAAGAAGGGGTGTTCTCGGTGCCAGCAATCGCAAGACACCAGAGTAATCACACAGTAACAACCTGCAACAGTTTTAACATTAGCTCACAAGTGTGAGATCACTTGGGTTTAAGACAGTAAGAGTTTTAACATTAGCTCACAAGTGTGAGATCACTTGGGTTTAGACAGCAAGAGTTTTAACATTAGCTCACAAGTGTGAGATCACTTGGGTTTAAGACAGTAAGAGTTTTAACATTAGCTCACAAGTGTGAGATCACTTGGGTTTCAGGTAGTAGGAGTTTTAACATTAGCTCACAAGTGTGAGATCACTTGGGTTTCAGGTAGTAGGAGTTTTAACATTAGCTCACAAGTGTGAGATCACTTGGGTTTAAGGTAGCAGGAGTTTTAACATTAGCTCACAAGTGTGAGATTACTTATGTTTGAGGTAGCAGGTGTTTTAACATTAGCTCACAAGTGTGAAATCACTTGAGTTTAAGGCTGGAACTGGTTTTTCAAGAAGTATCACTCAATTATTCTCATATAAGATTTTTTTTTTATCAAACTTACATTCAGATGCATTTTCAAACCCTTGAAATCTTACAGCTTTTACATAGTTGACAAGTTCAGAGACTTCTTTTGTCAATTTACGGTACTGAGTCTGTAATAATACACACACAAGAACATATTTCACTACACAACCAAAGTGTTTACATAACAGTTTAGCTAATTTAACAAATGAAAGAAAAACGTGACTGTTAAACTTTGCATTTCTTCCACAAAACTAAGGTCTGGATAAATTAAGGTATTTATTAGAAGATTTTAGAAATTGAGAAAATTAAATAACAAACTGAACCAAAATGCAACAATGATCACTTTGAGTACTACAGTGATAGTGCATCTAATGATGGCATCCTATCATGATATCAAAATAAAACTTAATTTTCATTCAAGGGTCTATAGCTCACTCAGGAGTTCTAATACCATTACTGTTTTAACATATCAACAACCACTAAACAAGAAAAAAAATATTAAATTTTCAACAATCATTGACTAAGACAGCTTTTCAATTACATTTCATACAATATTTTGGCTTTTTCACCTCCTTCACAGACACCATGTGACAAATGCAGTGAACAAAAACGAATTTATAGTTAACAATGATAGTTAGATGGAGAAGCTGGTGAAAGAAAAGCAACAAAACCACCATATTGTTAAAAATGCAATATTACAGTGGCAAAAATTCTCATTACAAGATATTACATTCTCTTGGAAAATCAAAAGGCCATAGAAGGGTAGAAGAAAATATAAAATGGGCAATTCGGAGCAAAGAAATGTCAAGAGATAAAGCTGAATAAAGGTTGAGAAATGATTTAAATATTTGCTCTTGAAATTAAAAGTTTGAATTACAAACTAAGTTTTAATGCCAAACTTGATGATAAAGTTGTATAACTAAATTTCAAATGTACCTCTGTAAAATGGTAGTAACAGATGCACTTTGACCCTCCCATGCTCTAAAGGTTAATCAGAACATTACAGCAGTGCTTAAGAATACAGATTATCCAATGTACAAGATTCTGAGTGTTCCCTAATGTGTTCAAAAATCACAGATTATTTAAGCCTGAAAATGATGCAGTTAAAACAACCTTTCAATATGAGAAGCTCTTTGTATCTTATTTTGCTGTTCCTCTTTCTATTAAAATGTTATGTATACAGATAGAAAAAGCTGATTCTTGAAATACTGCAATCCACCTTTCAAAACTTAAGTGAAATTCCAAAACATCAATTTCAACTCTGGATGGCGAATTACTGTAATTGATAAATAGCAAAATTTAAGTCTGGTATATGGTATCAAAGTCAATCTATCAAATTGTTTGCCAAAAAAGCTGTCAGTTTTTAATATATTAAAGAAACTAAGTAAATCAGAAGTGAAAAAAGTGGATTCTGGCTACTTAGTTTGATAATAGGTCTTTATATACACATGCCTAATGTATAATGCTAATAATAATAGTAAAAACTAAGGCGTTGTCCATAAATTTTATGCTGAAAAAATACACTTTATGTACAAATTCCAACCTTAGCAACCATAAAAGCTATCTTTATAAAGTTGTCTTTAAATATAGTACATTAAATCTAGTGACGAACAGTGGGAAACAAATGTAAAACAAACTTTTTCAGTTGTTATAGAGAAGATCAGAAGATGACCATAAGTAAAAATGGAAGAAGACTGGCAACAGTAAATTGGAAGTTTTACTTATCAGGAACTGAACACCAGAGAGAAGAATGGGATAAGTGAATAACCTAGAAATTAGCACTGAAAGTAGATCTCACAGCAACTCTATGGTAACTGATATAAATCATTCCTTTCTGTATTTATAACAACATCACAATTCTACAAGTGTTGTTTAAAATATGTAGGTTTTACAACCCTAAGAAAGTATGTAGCAGGAAAGCAAGCAGGGTTGAATTATCTCTGAATTTTGATTCCCACTGGTTCTCTCCTTCTTCTTCTTCTTCCAGAAGCTCTTCTTCTCCACTTATGCTACCCTCCGACAGCTTCTTACCCTAAAAAGAAATTCTGTTAAATAATTACAGAAGTAAGAAATGTACAAGCTTTTAAGAGAAACTATTTCTAGAATAAAATTATATGATATTTTCTGTCTAATGAACTGTATCTTGTTAGAGATTTGGTAGTTTACCTCACGTAACTAACTTGCTTGAATGTTAAAATATTGACATATTAACATACAGAAAGATTATTTTAATAGTTTTTATAATAAGATAAAATATCTTTGGTTAGTAATAACAATATGACAATTTTTTTACGTAAAGATTAAGGACAAAAAATTTACCTTGATAAATATTTTTTATATATTTTGCACACTGTAAATCAAGAAAAATTAAAACAATACCAGACAAATATTATCTGGTTTTACGTGTACCACCAGTTGTGTTCAAAGCAACTAATGAGCAATATTTTATCAATTAATGAGCAACAGTAAAAAATATAACCCAATAGTAGGTAGGGATGGGGGTTGGAATCATAAACAATTCACAGTTCATCATATTTCTAACTTCATAATGAACCGGATAGAATCTTTTATTTAATTCTAAGATACATGGAGAATAACTTTCAGGTGTAAATTGTACAGCTACATATAACATTTACAAATTCAAGTAACGATAATAATTTTATTGTGATTTCAGTTGCACAGCTACATATATAACATTTACAAATTTAAGTAACGATAATAATTCTCAACAATAATAATTCTATTGTGATTTCAGTTGCACAGCTACATATATAACATTTACAAATTTAAGTAACGATAATAATTTTATTGTGATTTCAGTTGCACAGCTACATATACAAGATTTACAAATTTAAGTAACAATAATAATTTTATTGTGATTTCAACAATTTTTAACTCAGAAAAGTTTTTAGAATTAATATTTTGTCATTTTGCAATATTTCTTCAGTGTTAGTCATAAAGAAATAAGTCAAAAATTACATTTCTAATCTGTCCAAAACGTCTCACTTTTAAACAACACACTACTTGATTTCAAATTATTTCTCAGACTTGAAGCTCAGTTAATAAAAAATACAAAATACTCCCACTTAACCCTTTCCAGATGAGTCACGGGTAAAAGGCCATGTCATCGCGTTTGTTGACTCACATTCAAAATTTTATTATACTACTATTTCATGAATTTATGTCGATAAGCTTGGTATCAAACTGTAGATTATA